CGTCGCCCTCACTGTCACGACACTCCAGCCCGCACGAGAGCGAGAACGAGGAGGAGCCCCGAGACGGGCTGCCGGAGGAAGAGCGCTACGATGAGGATGAGGAGGCCGCCAAGGACCGGCGCAACATCCGCGCTCCTGAGTGGCCGCGCCGTGCCTCCTCTGCCTCTTCCAACAGCGGGAGCAAGCGCAACTCGGTGGACACTGCACCCTCCAGCTCGCTCAGCACCCCCAGCGAGCCCCTCAGTCCTGCCAGCTCCCTGGGCGAGGAGCGCAACTAAGTCCTCCGCCCCACACTCCTAGCTCTTCCGGAGGGTGGGTACAGAAAGGCTGTTCCCAAACCCCACTCCAGATCCCGAGTGGAAGCCACACTCGGCGTGGCCCACAGCTTCCCCCAGTCTGCCATACACTCCAGCCTTCCAGCTCCGCTCTTGGAGTCCCCACACTCCAGAATCCACAACGCTGTGCCTTTCTCTGGTCCAGAATGTATAATCTGTGCCCTGGACTGCATCCCAGAAGCCAGCAATCTGCCATTACTCTGCAGTGGTGCCAGAGGTTTTAGGAAACCTGGCCGGATGCTTTCAGGCTAAGGCTCCTGCAGCCCTCTGTGGCTTGCAAATTCTGCAGCATATAAAGCACGTAGTGCTCAAGCCTGGCCTGGGGGCCACCAGGTGCTACAAACCATATGGTGTCCCTGCTAATGGGACAATCAAGTGCAGAGCCAGGGCACTTTCAGGGACTTAAAATAACGGAGTGCAGAGGGTCCTCCATTTCAACTCCATAACTTGGGCTCCAGGATAGGCTCATGGCAGCCTTCCCTGGCTTGTCTGGCTCTGCCTGAGGGATCCCTCCACCTTTGCTCCTGCCGTGCCCCACACTGGGCACACCAGGGGTAGCAGAACCACTTGGCTCCTCTTGCCTTCTGGAGAACATGCAAGTTGTGATCTAGACACCTTTCTGGCCTTTTTCTGGACCAGACCCTCCTCCTCCTTCCCTGAGTCTGAGCAGTCCCCCATATCTTGAGAGACTCCTTCTGTGCCCTCCAGGGAATCCTGCTGAGGACAGAACTGGCTGTCCGCCTCTACCCCTACTCCTCCCCAACCGCCCAGCCCACTGTGAAACCACTAGGCTCTAGGTCCCGGCTGCCGAACCTGGAACTCTACCACTTTGCTGCATACTGGTCCCTTTCTCCTGATCCCACTGGGTTCACGTGTACCTCGAGGCTCTTCCATCCCCAAGCTGTGCTCTGCCCCCAGCTTCTGTGAAAGAGAGGGGCCCCCTCATGTGTGCTGTGTTGTCTGATGCACTGCTTGGTTTGCAATTGGGAAGGGGAGGCCAGAAGGGGTGTGATTGGAGTATCCAGAGATGAAAAAAATACATCTATATTTAAGAATCCTAGGTGTGGTCAGACATGAGCACTTGAGGGCCCTTGTTCCTGTCCCCTCGAACCCTGCCCCCTCCCTGGTCCCTTAGCTCATTCTGCTATTCTAGCGAGGCTTGCATTGCTGTTCTAAAATTCCAGTGTTCACATAAGATACCTCCGATTGCTTAGTTGGGACTTGATTTGCAAGTGGCAAAAATTTGGCTGACATGATCTTTGACATAAAGGGGCCATGTGACTAGGATGAAGATCTGTAGGGCAGCCACAAGCCACATGTAGCTATTTAGTAAGTTTCTCAGTAATACCAGCAACATGCAAGTGTTCAGTAGCCACATGTGGTTCATAGCTACCCTATTGGACACAGATGGACAGCACCAGTTTAAGGCACATTTCCATGATTCTGTGGTCTCTGTCACTGTCCTCTGAATGGCTCTATTTTTAGGAAAAATCTTTTTCCATTTAGTTCAAATCTTCACTAAGGCTTATGTGCAATTCTGAGCCAATCATTACTCAGGGAATTAGAAAGCTCTGAATTGTTTGGATTTGGAGGTGTGATTAATCTTTCCTGTTGGCCACGGTGTGACACAGAGACCCCTCCCCTTCCCCCAAATTGAGTGGCCACTAAAGTCTGGCGAGAGGGGTACAGTGCTGAGCAAAAGAACCAGTATCCAGTCCATACTTAGACTCCTCTTCTAGAAGGGAAAGAGGGAGAGGGTCAGAGCTGACTCGTTTTGTAGCTTGGACCCAGCAGATGCCTCCTAAGGCCTCTTTAAGATTCCTCAGTGCCCATTTGGAGAATTTGGCCCTAAATTTCACATAATTCCTCCCACTGTGTCCAGTGTGTGCCCTGCATTGGGATTACCATACAGGCCATGATCTCTGAACTAAAGGCGTAGCCTTTGGAGTGGTTGGACCCAGGTGTGTGCCTCCTGTTTGCCAACCAAATTGCACAGTAATAGCCTCCCTTTGCCCATATAAAGGGGCTACTATTCTACTTGCCTCCCAGAATTGAGGCAGAGACAGTACTTTCAGAGCTTGGCACTATGTCTGGCCCCATACTCCTTAAACAGGACTGTTTCTGGTTACTGAAATTTAATAGTAACTGCTTCCAGCCACCAACCCCAGGTTTTACTAAATTCAACTCCCTGGAGTCTGAGTCTATCATCTGGGGAGGTCAGTTAACAACCAGGCAAGCAGAGAACCCTCAACTTCACACCCTATAGATAGGATCTTGCTTTAGAACAGATAAGAAAATGGGAGATGGGGCCAACTCCTCTTTCTCTGCCATCCCAGCTCACTCAGAATCCTTGTGAAAATAGATTACACCTCACTTTTCATACCACATACAAAATCACCAACTGGGTGCTGCAAAAAGCTTTATTTCCATTTGGTCCAAGGCTTGGGAGAGGACTCCAGGATGGTTAAAAAGCTGCCTAGTGGCTGGAGGGAGAGGCTCAGGCAGAAGCCCTGACACTTTGAGAGGGGCTCCTCAGAGGTCGCTGGGCTTGGCAGGCTCCTAGTCGTGTTTGAGAGTGAGCCTTTCGAAGAGATACTCGCCCAGCCCAGCCTGGGGGCTGGCCAGCCTGCGGAAGTTGGTCAGGTGGTCACCCATCTTCTTGATGAGTTTCACTTCCTCATCTAGGAAGTGATTCTCCAGGAAGTCACAGAGATGGGGGTCTGTGCGGGTAGAAGCCAGAGCATGAAGATCCAGAAGATCCTGGTTCAGGCTCTTCTCCAGGGCCATGGCGGCTTCCATTGCGTCCCGGGTTGTACCCCACTCATCTTGAGATGGCTTCTGCACGTCCTGGAAGAGAGCGCGCCCGCCACGCTGGTTTTGCATCTTCAAGAGACGCTCGGCGCCCTCGCGCTTCTCCTCAGCCAATTCGCGGAAGAAGTGGCCCACGCCTTCCAGAGCCACATCGTCGCGATCGAAATAGTAGCCCAGAGAGAGGTAGGTGTAGGAGGCCCGCAGATGCAAATTGACCAGGCGGTTGACGGCTGCCTCCACATCGGTGGAATAATTCTGACGAATCTGGGAGCTCATGGTTGCTCGGCAGTAAGGTGCTAACCACAAAAAATGGTGTTAGCTGGCTCCAGTAGCAGGAGATAGCAGAGATCTTCTCTTGGTTCGGAGATCTTGGTCCCGGAGATTGCAAGTGGAGAAATCAGAGAGCAGTTTGAGGTTGGAAGAAAGGGAGTCCTCGGGTCTGTTCCGTCCAAACACTGTTGAAGCAAGACACAGAGCCATGAGACCGCCCAACGCGCTGCCCATAGTTGGTTCTTGAAACATGCTAAATGAAAAAAGGCAGTCTTGAAAAGCCACATATCATATGATTCTCTTGTTACAAAATGTCCAGAGTATGCAAATTCACAAAAATAGAAAGTAGATTAGTGGCATCCAAGTGCTGAGGGAATGAAGGAATGGGGAATGACTGCTAATGGGCACAGGGTTTCTTTTTGTTATTGTTATTTCAGAATATTATGGGGGTACAAATGTTTTGGTTGCATGGATTGCTTTTGTACTGCTTGAGTCAAAGTTATAAGTGTGCTTATCACTCAGCGTTCATTATACCCATTAGGTATACTTTCACCCATTTCCTCTTCCCACTTGCTTGATTTCTGCTGAATTTTACTTCCATCTGTGCATGTGAGTGCTGATTGGTTAGCTCCAATTAAATAGTACATGTGGTGCTTGTTTTTTCTTGGGATACTTCACTTAGCAAAATGGTCTCCAGTTCCACCCAGATTGTTGTAGAAGGTATTAATTCATTTTTTTAATGGCTAAATCATACTCCATGGTATAAATATACACCACATTTTCTTAATCCACTTATGAATTGATGGATACTTGAGTTGATTCCACATCTTTCCGATTGTGAATTGTGCTGCAATAAACATTTGGGCACAAGTGTCTTTTTGATAAAAATGACTTTTTTTCATTGGGTAAATACCCAGGAGTGGGATTGCTGGATCAAATGGTAGGTCTACTTTTAGTTCTTTGAGGAATCTCCATACTATTTTCCATAGAGGTTGTACTAGTTTGCAGTCCCACCAACAGCAAGTAAGTGTTCCTTTCTCTCTGCATCCACACCAGCATCTATTGTTTTGGGACTTTTTGACAAAAGCCATTCTCACTGGGATTAGGTGATAACTCATTGTGGTTTTGATTTCCATTTCCCTGATGATTAGTGACATCGAGCATTTTTTCAAATGTTTATTGGCCATTATTAGTCTATCTTCTTTCAAAAAGCTTCTGTTCATGTCTTTTGCCCACTTTTTAATGGAGTTGGTTTTTTTTTCTTGCCAATTTGATTGAGTTCTTTGTAGATTCTAGCTATTAGCCCATTATCAGATATATAGCATGTGAATATGTTCTCCTATTCTGTAGGTTGTCCATTTGTTCTGTTAATTGTTTCCTTGGCTGCGCAGAAGGCTTTTAGTTTAATCAAGTCCCATTTGTTAATATTTTTTTCTTTTTTTGGAGACAGAGTCTTGCTCTGTTGCCCAGGATAGAGTGCCATGATGTTAGCCTAGCTCACAGCAACCTCAAAATCCTGGGCTTAAGCAATCTTTCTGCCTTTGCCTCCTGACTAGCTGGGACTACAGGCATGTGCCACCATGCCCAGCTAATTTTTTTCTAAATGTTTTTAGTTGTCCAGCTAATTTCTTTCTATTTTTTAGTAGAGACTGGGTCTTGCCCTTGCTAAGGCTGGTCTTGGCTGACCTTGAGCGATCCTCCTGCCTCAGCCTCCCAGAGTGCTTGGATTACAGGCATGAGCCAATGCACCTGGCCAATTTTTATTTTGGTGTTAATGCCTTTGGGGTCTTCATCATAAATTCTTTGCCTAGGCTGATGTCTAGAAGAGTTTTTCTAACATTTTCTTCTAGAAGTTCTTATGGTTTCAAGTCTTAGGTTTAAGTCTGTTGTCCATCTTGAATTAATTTTAGTGAGTGGTGAGAGATTTGGATCCTGTTTCAATCTTCTGCATGTGGCTATCCAATTTTCCCAGTACCATTTATTGACTAGACACTCTTTTCCCCAGTGTATGTTTTTCTCTGCTTTGTCAAAGATCGGATGGCAATATGAGGTTGGTTTTAAATCTGGGTTCTCAGTTCTGTTCCATCAGTCTATATCTCTGTTCTTGTGCCAGTACCATGCTGTTTTGGTTACTGTAGCCTTGTAGTATAGCTTGAAATTTGGTAAAGTGATACCTCCAGATTTTTTCTTTTTGCTTAAGGTTTCTTTTTGTCTTTTTGGGTACTTTTCTGGTTCCAAATGAAGTGTAGAATTATTTTTTCTAGATCTGGGAAGAATGATGTTGGTATTATGATTGCACTGAATCTGTAAATCATTTTGGGTAGTGTGGACATTTTAACAATGCTGATTCTGCCCATCCATGAGCATGATGTTTTTTCATTTGTTTGCATATATGCGATTTCCTTCCTCAGTACTTTGTAGTTCTCTTTGTAGCGATCTTTCACCTCCTTGGTTAAATATATTTCTAGGTATTTTATTTCTTTTGTACCCATTGTGAAAGGTATTGAGTCTTTGACTTGATTCTCAGCTTGACTGTTGTTGGTGTATAGGAATGCTGCTGATTTGTGTACATTGATTTTGTAACCTGAGACTTTGCTGAATTTATTTATTAGTTCCAGGAGTCTCTTTGTGGAATGTTTGGGGTTTTCTAAATATAACATCATATCATCAGCAAAGAGCAATAGTTTGATCTCCACTTTCCCCATTTGAATACTCTTAATTTCCTTCTCTTGCCTGATTACTCTGGCTAGGACTTCCAGCACTATGCTGGATAGAAGTGGTGACAGTGGGCATCCTTATTTTGTTCCAGTTCTAAGTAGGAATGCTTTCAACTTTTCCCCATTCAGTATGATGTTGGCTGTGGGTTTGTCATGTATGGTTTTTATAATTTTGAGATATGTTCCATCTATGCCTATTTTGTTAAGAATTTTTTTATCATAAAAGGTGCTGAATTTTGTTGAATGCTTTTTCTGCATCTATTGAGATGATTGTATGATCTTTGTTTTTGCTTCTGTTTATGTGGTGAATCACATTTATGGATTTACCTATGTTGAACCATCCTTGCATCCCTGGGCTGAAGCCTATTTCATCATGGTGGATTATTTTTTTGATGTGCTGCTGAATTCAGTTTGATAGACTTTTATCGAGAATTTTTGCATCTATATTCATAAGAGGTATTGGTCTGTAGTTTTCTTTTGTTGTGGCCTTTCCTGTCTTTAGTATCAAGGTGATACTGGCTTTGTAAAATGAGTTGGGGAGGATTCCTCCCTTCTCAATGTTTTGAAATAATTTCTGCAGTATTGGTCCCAATTCTTTGTAGAACTGATAAAATTTGGCTGTGAAACCATCTGGTCCAGGACTTTTTTTGTTGGAAGATTTTTTTTTATTATTGTTTCAATTTTGTTGCTCATTATTGGTCTGTTTGGGAGTTCTATTTCTTCTTGATTGAGGGAGTTGTGTGTTTCCAGGAATTTGTCCATTTCTTCAATGTTTTTGAGATTATACATAAATATTTTTATAGTATTCACAGATGATATTTTGTATTTCTGTGGTATCAGTTGTAATAACTCCTTTTTCATTTCTGATTGAGCTTATTTGGATCCTTTCTTTTCTATTTCTGGTTAATGAAGCAAGAGGCCTATCATTTTTGTTTATTTTTTCAAAGAACAAACTTTTTGTTTCATTAACGTTCTGTATTATTTTTTTCTTTTTGATTTCAATTAGTTCTGCTCTGACCTTAGTTATTTCTTTTCTTCTGTTGGGTTTCAGTTTGGTTTGCTCTTCCTTTTCTATTTCCTTGAAGTGATTCAATAGGTTGTTGATTTGTGATCTTTCTGTCTTTTTAATATAGGCACATAAGGCTATGAATTTTTCCCTTAGGACTGCTTTTGCTGAATCCCATAGATTTGGTATCCCCTTTGTCATTTAGTTCGAAGAATCTTTGGTTTCCATCTTGATTTTCTCTTTGACCTAATAATCATTCAGTGGAAAGTTGTTTAATTTCCATGACTTTGTGTAGAATTGAGTGTTTCTATTGGATTTGATTTCTAATTTTATTCCACTGTGGCCTGAGAAGATACATGTTATCATTTCTATTTTTCTGAATTTGTTGAGATGTGTTTTGTAGCCTAAGATGTGACCAATCATAGAGAATGTTCCATATGCTGATGAGAAGACTGTATATTCAGTAGTTTTTGGGTAGAATGTTCTATAAACATCTGTTAGGCCCATTTGCTCTAGAGTCCTATTTAAGTCCATTATTTCTTTATTTTCTGTTTGGAGGATCTGCCCATTATGTCAGTGGGGTGTTCAAGTCCCAAGCTATTACAATGCTGCTGTTTATCACTTTGTTTAGATTTAGGAGGGTTTGCTTTATGAATCCGGGCATGCCTGTGTTAGGTGCATAAACATTTAGGATTGTTATGTCTTCTTGTTAAGTTTCTCCCTTTACCATTATATAATGACCATCTTTGTCTTTCTTTGCTATTGTTGATTTGAAGTCTGTGTTATCTGATATGAGAATGGCTGCATCAGCTTTCTTTTCATTTCCACTTGCAAGGAATATTTTTTTTCCATCCTTTCACCTTGAGTCTGAATGAGTCCTTATGGTTAGATGTGTTTCCTGGAGGCAGCAGCTACTTGGCTCCTATTTTTTTTTTTTTTATCTATTCTGCCAGCCTATGTCTCTTGAGTGGAGAATTCAAGCCATTCACATTCATTGAAAGAATTGATAAGTGGGATGCATTTCTCTTCATCCTGTTGGGTAGAACCTTATTGCTTTGTTTTACCTCTTGAGCCATTATTTCATATGAGCTCTGAGCTTTCACTTTTAGGTGATTTTACACTGATGGGTGTCTATTGTGCTGATTGATGTATAATGCAGATCTGAGTACTTCCTCCAGGGCAGGCCTGGTCTTGACAAATTCCCTCAGTGTTTGCTTATCTGAAAAAGTCTTTATTTCTCTCTCCTACAGGAAACTTAATTTTGTAGGATACAAAATTCTAGGCTGGCCATTATTCTGTTTAAGAAGACTGAGGATGGGGCCCCAATCCCTTCTGGCTTATAAGGGCTCAATTGAGAAGTCAGCAGTTAATCTGATGGGATTTGCTTTCTAAGTTACCTGATGTTTTCACCTTATGGCTTGCAGGAATTCCTCCTTCATGTTGACTTTAGCCAGTCTGATAACTATGTGTGACAGTCATTGCCCCTTTGCAATGAATCTCCCA